AGTCAGATGAAGACCAGCACTGCTCAGGGACAAAGGCATAATCACATTCTAATGTTCTATTTCATAAGCATCTTTGAGTTAATGCCTAGTCCACTAATCATGAAGGTTTTTTTAATTTTTTTTCTTGAAGCTTTTTTAAAATAGCGTCCAACTTGATTAATAAAGCACAAAATACAGATCAAGTATAATATTGCGGCGGAGGTGTGAGAACACATTGCCCCTCTGCAGTTGCTGTGGGTGCCCAGAGGGTGGCGCTGTGCAAGCTGCGCAGCAGCGCGGGCACACGGAGCACACACATGTGCCAGCGCGGGCACACGCGGCTTCCCACCCCTGTCATGGTGTCCCTGGCAGGGCCTGATGCAGCCCGGGCAGCCCTGATGGGCCAGCAGCTGCAGCATCCGAGACCACTGTCCTCCCTCTTACAAGGCCTGGGGAGGGGACACCCTTAAGGAGACCCTAGCCACCAGTGTGAGCACGTGTGTGTGTGCATACACGAGCACTTCTCGCTTGGAGGATCAGGCATACAAGGCAAGCGTAGGGCATCCTTACAGAAAGTAAAAAAAATCTGCTCTTCCTGCAAGATCACATCTGACCATCCCCTACTCCCCCATAATCCCAGCAACGGTTAATGAAAGCACACCCCCTGGTGGCTGCAGGATTAGGCAGAGACAGCGCTGCGCTGTGAGTTCCGGGCTCTGCCCGCGTGGGCACCGTGCTGCTCACACGCGCTGGCACTGGCTGTGGCCTGGTGGGGCAGCCAGTCCCCTCCCACCCCCCCCACCCTGAGTCTGCCCCTCAGGCCCTGTTACTGATGAGTTTCTAGACACCTTGGGAGAGTTCAGGCCCAGAGAGTCATATGTTGTTGTCTTGAGCATCTGGGGAGAACCAGAATTTCCAAATGAGACCTAAAGTCCCTTGGGGCCAGGGACTGGCCCACCGCAGATGTGACTGTGGGGTAGGTGTCCACCCGGCCCAGGCCGGCAGAGGAGAAGCCTGCTCCTGGTGGGGAGGGTCTGTACATCGTGCAGTGTCTTGTCACTATCTGGAAATACACTTTTAGAGGTTCGAGGGCATGGTGCTGGCTCTGGGGAGAACTCCTAGCTGTAGTAGTAGCTCAGTGGCAGAGTACGTGTGCGTCTGTGCACACGTGCATGCATACACAGGGGTGCATCTGTGCACGTGTGTGCACGTGTACACAACTATGCATTGTGCACGTGCATGCATACATAGGGGTGCACGTGTGCATGTGTAGTGATGCATTGTGCGCATGTGTGCACACGTGTGCATGTGTTGCACACATAGGTGTGCCTATGTGTGTAAGAGAGAGGGGGATGGGCAGATGGCCGGGTGAGCAGTGGGAAGCGAGCGGAAGCCCAGTGCTTAGGCTGGCTCTCGAACCAGCTCAAGGCCTCAGGAAACAAATCCCCAGAGCAAAGACTGCTGGTAACCTGCCACCACTCAAAGCACGGGGCACCCACGGGTGTGCCGGCCTGCGGGGGGCGTTCCGCAGGGTCCCTACAGCACGGGGCACCCACGGGTGAGCCGGCCCACGGGGGGGCGTTCCGCCCAGTCCCTACAGCACGGGGCACCCATGGGCGAGCCGGCCCGCGGGGGGGCGTTCCGCAGGGTCCCTACAGCACGGGGCACCCACGGGTGTGCCGGCCCGCGGGGGGCGTTCCGCAGGGTCCCTACAGCACGGGGCACCCACGGGCGAGCCGGCCCACGGCGGGGCGTTCCGCCCGGTCCCTACAGCACGGGGCACCCACGGGCGAGCCGGCCCGCAGGGGGCGTTCCACCCGGTCCCTACAGCACGGGGCACCCACGGGCGAGCCGGCCTGCGGGGGGGCGTTCCGCAGGGTCCCTACAGCACGGGGCACCCACGGGCGAGCCGGCCTGCGGGGGGGCGTTCCGCAGGGTCCCTACAGCACGGGGCACCCACGGGCGAGCCGGCCCGCAGGGGGCGTTCTGCAGGGTCCTGCACAGTGGTCTTCTCGTTGGGAAGTGCTCATGGACTCACGCCGTGGCTCGCGTTCTCACCCTCCCCCCCCACCAGTTCTTGGTAATTGCTCTCTTCTGGTTTTTAGTTTGCTTCAGCTTCTTTTCAAATCAGGGACTTTAAAAATACTATTCTTTAGCCCAGCAGCAGTGGTCATGCCTATAATCCAATTCAAAGACAGCTTGGGCAGAAAAGTCTGTGAGATTCTTATCTCCAATTAACCAGCAAAAAACAAACAAAAAAAACCAAAAAAAAAATCCAGGAGTGAGTGGAGCTGTGGTTCAATGGTAGATGCTGGCCTTGAGCACAAATGCTTGGGGACAGCACCCAGGCCCTGAGCTTAAGACCCAGGACTGGCAAATGCACGTGTGCACACATGCATACACTCTCTACACACGCAAATACTGCTCTTACTTTCTACTGAAATGGTTGTGGTACCTCTATTGCCTTTCGTAGTGCACTACCAGAATTTCTTCATGAGCAAGACGATGCCCCTGGTCCAGGCCTGGTGCTGTGGGGCTGGAGCTGGTGCTGGTGCCCTGCCTCCCACGGGGCGGGCGGTGGCGGGTGGTGGCGATGGACTTTAGCATTGCCTGTCTCGGGAGCCCCTGGTGCCCAGGCACGGAGCAGCTCTGACCCTGGTTTCTCAGCCTGGATTTCCCGTGCTGTGTGTGGATGTGTGGGACGTGCGGGCCGGCCCGCAGAGGAGGACGCACTGCCCCCCCCCCCCCCAGAGGACGCGCCGCCCCCACCCCCACCCCGCAGAGGAGGGCTCCGGCGGCCGCCTTCCTCTAAGCACCCCCTCCCTCTGCTCCCAGCTCCCAGGGGCTGCTGCAGCCAGCGTGTACCCACTCGGTGATTGTGATATTTTCAGGAATTCTGTAGGCCAATTGTTAGGTACAGCCGTTAAGGTGCATTCACTGACGCACAGATAATAAACACTCAAAACGCCACAGAGCAAAGCAGGCTCGGGACATTAAGTTTTTGTGGCAAGAAAAATGTTTTGTGTGGTTGGCAGGCCAGCAGGCGGGCGCGGTGGAGCCGGCCCTGCCTCCGGCGGGCGTCTGCGGCAGAGGCCCTTTCTCTGGGGACGGTTATGTTCTCACCTGGGGGCGGGGCAGAGCACGCGGCATCTTTGATCAGACCTGGTCTCTGCTCACGAGTGCTCAGGAAAAGGCAGATTGTGATTACTGCTCATTCGGGAAGGGCCCGCAGCCGTTCTTGGGAGACCAGGATCTTGTTCAAGGGATTCATCCACACTCTAGCCATTCTGAAAACGAATCACTTTCTAATTGTTTTGAGTGTTTTCGCGTCGCCTGTGGGATTGGTTCATTCACCCACTGCAGCGCTGCACAGTGGAAATGCTCCCATTGTGTGTGCGTGCTTTCAGTCCAGAATCAGCTGACAGCCTGCACTGTCCTGCTGTGCGCGTGCTGGTGATGGTCACCACCGCACATGTGCAGCAGACAGTGCCGATTGTGGCCTGCTGTAAACCTGCGAGCCCAGAGCCCAGCCCCAGACGGCTCTGGGTCAGGGTCCGTGGTCGCTGCTGCCTGGTCAGTGGGAAGTGTGCTCCTGGTTGCACGTGGGAGGTTCTAGAACTCTACAAAAACCACAGCACGTCTTGGTGAGTGGCAGCGCTCCACGGCACAGCGCCTCTGCTGGCAGATCGCGTGATCTGCAGCGTTCAGGGTGGTGGGTGCGGGGAGCTCCGTGCCGCTGCAGACTGGCAGAGGCTGGTGGATGTGTGTGTGGGCGTGTGCGGTGTGTGCATGTGTGCGGTATGTGCACGTGTGCTGGGGATCAAACAAGCATCTCGTGCTCACGCTGTGACACGGGTGGGTGGGGAAGTGCCTGTCTGGAGTGAGCCCTCCTGTGAACACCTGTGAGCACACTGCGGAACATGGGCAGCGAGGCCTAGCACGGGCGAGGCCTGTGACTCCAACCAGGGTGGAGCAGCCGGCTCCAGTCCCCGCCCCCCCTCCCGTGGGTCCTCTGGCTGGGCCACGTGGGGCCTGGGGTCCCCCCCCACCCCGTGTGTCCTCTGGCTGGGCCACGTGGGGCCTGGGGTCCCCTCCCCCCCGCCCTGTGTGTCCTCTGAATGGGCCATGTGGGGCCTGGGGTCCCCTCCCAACATGGCTCCCTCCACAAACAAAGGCCGGGAGGTGGGACTCAGCACGTTTAATGGGACGCAGGAAATAGAGTTCTGTCTCACACTAGACGATTTCTTCTGGAACCTAAGGAGTTAGGAATGACAAGCAGGTAGATGCTTACTCTATGCAGATAAATCACGTCTATCGATTGTTACTCAGTCCCGGCGGGGGGCAGCTTTGGAAGAGGAGGTGAGGGGGCTCCAGCAGGCGGACGGCCCCACAGGACACGGCAGCGTGGGGTCCATGCCCCCTGCTGCTCAGTGCCCGCTGCTGAACCCTGATCCACGGCGACGCCCCGCCTCCCGTCTGCTCCAACTCTGAGAATAACGAGGTGACCGTCCTGCTCTGGGCAGCAGGGGTCAGTGCGGCCGCGCAGGGGTGAACCGGAGGAGCCGCGCGGGGGCTGTGCGCAGCATAGCTGCACCTGCTGCGTTTCCAGAACTTTTCTCCAGGAGGCGTACTGGAACCTTCTCTTGGGCTCCCTGGAGGGCGCTGCGGGGTCCCGGGCTAGCCAGACGCCGCGCTGCTCTGCCTTGGGCACCTCTGGGGAAAGCCACCTGGGGTTCTCACGTCAGAGCTGCCCCGTGGCAGGCTCACCGTGACCTGCAAGGCGGAGGCCATCAGGCCAGGCCCGGCCCAGGTGCGGGGCCGCCCGTGGGGAGCCCTCCCCCCGCCCAAGGGTGGACATGGCCGCCGCAGTGCTGCAGAGCGAGGCAGGGACCAGGCCGTGCGGGCCTCCACCCCAGAACGAAGTCCTGCCCCAGGAGGCTCTCGGGTGACGTCACCTTCAAGGCCACGCCCAGTGGGGGCACTGCATCCGGGACCTCGCGGGCTCGGCCTCCGTGGGCAGAGCAGGGGGCGCGCTGTGGGGCTGTGGGAGTGCACTACGATGCGCGACAGACTGCGGGCGGATGTGGGTGGTGCTGTAGGGAGGGAACGCTTCCTTTTCTTTACAAGATGATGAAAACTGATGCGCTGAGTCCCCCGCCCTCCTAACCGGGTATTTCCACGGAATCTACAGGGACTGGTCATCTGGCGGACCGTGGGAATCTGAAGACTCTGCCGACAGCACAGGACAGCGAGCTGGGGCAGCGTGGGGCCCCAGCGGGGCTCGGCCTGGGCCTACTGGGGAAGGGCCTTCAGGATGGCGTTCACCTCCTCTGCCACGGCTGTTAGCGCAAACTCAAACTGCTCCTGCAGAGGGACAGAGGTGGGAAGAGGCGTGAGCAAGGGTGACCCCGGTGCACTCCAGTGGGAGGAGGCATAAGGGAGGGTGACCCCTGCACTCCAGTGGGAGGAGGCGTGAGGGAGGGTGACCCCTGCACTCCAGTGGGGGGAGGCGTGAGGGAGGGTGACCCCTGCACTCCAGTGGGGGGAGGCGTGAGGGAGGGTGACCCCTGCACTCCAGTGGGAGGAGGCGTGAGGGAGGGTGACCCCTGCACTCCAGTGGGGGGAGGCGTGAGGGAGGGTGACCCCTGCACTCCAGTGGGAGGAGGTGTGAGGGGGGGTGACCCCTGCACTCCAGTGGGAGGAGGCGTGAGGGAGGGTGACCCCTGCACTCCAGCATGAGCTGCTTGTCTGCTTTTCAGAAAGACACTGTCCAGGCAACAAAAGAGACACTGGAGTCCCTGGCTTCAGCACAGCCCAGTGCTCGCTGGACTTCAGTGCTGGAAAGCTTGAGCTCTATGTGGGGCAATGTGGCTATGGAGCTACCAGGCAGAGGGCTCCCTGTGTTCTTCTCAGTCTCTGGTGAGGGTCCTTGACAAGCCAGCCACCTGGATGGGCAGATGGGGCGGTCTTGACATCAGGCAGGTATTGCCGCTAGTCCCAGTCGTAGCCACAAAATAGTCATAGTCAAAGTCACAGTTATACACATGGTCATAGTCACAGTTGTGGTCGCTATCATAGCCATAGCCACAGTTGTGATCAGTTATAGTCACAGTCATAGCCGCAGACATAGCCGCAGTCATAGTCACAGACATAGCCGCAGTCATAGTCACAGCCACAGTCGTAGACACAGTCATTGTCGCAGCCGCAGTCGTAACCACAGTCATAGTCATTACCACATAGTCATAGTCACAGCCGCAGTCCTAGTCACAGTCATAGTCATAGCCACCGTGGTAGACACAGTCCTAGCCACAGTCATAGCTGCAGTCAAAGCCACAGTCATAGTCACATCCACAGTCTTAGACACAGTCATAGCTGCAGTCATAGTCACAATCATAGCCACAGTCACAGTCATAGCCGCAGTCCTATTCACAGTCATAGCCGCAGTCACAGCCACAATCGTAGGCACAGTCATAGTCACAGCCGCAGTCGTAGCCATAGTCATGGTCACAGCCACAGTCATAGACACGGTCATAGCTACAGTCATAGTCATAGCCACAGTCACAGTCATTATCGCAGTCATAGTCACAATCATAGCCGCAGTCACAGTTTTACCACAGTAATAGTCATTATCACAGTCATAGTCATTACCACAGTCATAGTCATAACCATAGCGTGGTCATAGCTACAGTCACAGTTACAGTCATAATTCAGCCATAGTCACAGCCACAATCATAGCCACAGTCATAGTCATAGCCACCATTGTAGCCACAGTCATAGTCACAGCCACAATCATAGCCACAGTCATAGTCATAGCCACCATTGTAGCCACAGTCATAGTCATAGCCACCATTGTAGCCACAGTCATAGTCACAGCCACCATTGTAGCCACAGTCATAGTCACAGCCACCATTGTAGCCACAGTCATAGCCACAGCCGTACTAGTAGCCACAGTCATGTAATAGTCACAGTCATAGTCACAGTCACAGTCATAGCCACAATCTCAGAGACAGTCAGTCACATTCACAGTTATAGCCACAGCCACAGCCACAGTTATAGTCAGAGTCACAATCATAGTCACAGTCACAGCCACAGTCATAGACACAGTAATAGTCACAATCACAGCCACAGTAACAGTCAGTCATAGACACAGTCATGGCCACAGTCATAGTCACAGCCACAGTTGTAGCCACAGTCAGCCATTACCACAGTCATAGTCATAGTCACAGTTATAGCCTCAGTAATAGCCACAGTCATAACCACAAGACACATTTGCAGTCACAGTTACAGTCATAGTCACAGTCATAGCCAGTCTCAGAGACATAGTCACAGTCACATTCAGTTATAGCCACAGTCACAGCCGCAGTCATAGCCAAAGTCACAGTCACAATCACAGTCATTACCAGTCATAGTCACAGTAATAGTCACAGTCACACCCACAGTCATAGTCATAGACACTGTCATACTCACAGTAATAGTCATAGCCACAGCCACAGTTATAGATACAGTCATAGTCACAGTTGTCACAATCACAAAGTCAGTCATAGTCACATTCATAGTCACAGTTACAGTCACAGCCATAGTCAGTCATAGCCACAGTCATATTCAGTCAGTCACATTCACATTCACATTCACAGTCATAGTCACAGTCATAGTTATAGTCACAGTCATAGTCATATTCACAGTCATAGTCATGGTCAAATTCAAAGTCACAGTCACAGCCAGTCATAGTTAGAGTCACATTCATAGTCACAGTTGCGGTCATAGCCATAGTCACAGTCATAGCCACAGTTACAGTCAGAGTCACAGTCATATTCACAGTCACAGTTACAGTCATAGTCACAGTCACAGACACAGTTACAGTCAGTCACAGTCATAATCAGTTACAGCTGTCACAGTCAGTTAGTCATAGTCACAGTCATAATCACAGTCACAGCAGTCACAGTCACAGTCATAGCCACAGTTACAGTCATAGTCACAGTCATAATCACAGTCACAGCTGTCACAGTCATAGTTACAGTCATAATCACAGTCACAGCTGTCACAGTCATAGTTACAGTCATAGTCACAGTCA